TTGCTGTGAGTAGTTCACCAGGATCCTTCCGTACAGTAGAAGACACCAGTGAGCCGTGCTGCGCGAAGCCGATCGGCCCATCGACCTTTACGGCCTCGTGGTGAAGCTTCTGCCGAACATATTTTATCTTCCCAACCATTTTAATACCGCCGAACCAACTTTAAGTCCACTTCTTACACGAACTCCCTCGTGTTGATATTTCCATTAGAGAGCGTGCAATGTAGGTCAAGTCGTCCAAGCTAACACCGGAAATCGTTCTGTTTTGCCTTCAAAAGTGTTTTCTCTCCTTTGAACATGTTGCCTCAAACAAGGTTTTGGTATTTCCTTAATGGGAAACACGCCGCGTACTTAACTTCCCCCCTGTCATCGCAGCTGCCATCGACGGTGTTCACATTTTAACTGACTTAGAGAGCGTATAAGAAGCTTGAACATATTTTACTTTGGTAATAACTACCGGAAGTAGTTACAGTAGTTCTGAGACGGCTGGTGTACCAGCTTAGTGCCTCGGTGTAAAACGAGGAGGAGTGAAAGTTCCTAGTGATACTAATTTCCAAAAGTTGTTCTCCAAAACTTATATATTGGTATAATTTCCAAAAGGTTTAGTACCAAGTTATGTTATTTAATTTTTTTACCTTTTAGAAAATGCGAAAATAATTACTTCCTTAAATTTGTTGAATAACTTGGTTTGATGAAATAAAAACAAATAGTAGTTAACATTGCAACTCGAGGAGAGTGCACAAAATATTTATTCTGATACAACATTTTATTTTCCATTTATACAATAGTTGGAAGTAAGCCACAGAGGTAGCCAACCAATTCATATTCACATCATCTGCACATTTAAATTCAGTATGACAAAACATTTATTTATGTGAATACTTTTCGTCTTCTTAAATATAGCTCACGAAACAAGTAAAAGTACAAATGCATATACGTTACAGACGTCCTATTTAATAATTTGTGCATGACTATTTTGGAATGGTTTGAACTGTGGGTTAAAGGAGAAAGAGATTAGGGACTGAACGCCTGTAAGTGTCAATGTGAGCATGTTTAACTGCCTCAGTGATAGACTGGTGTGCTTTCTCTCTATGACAGCAGGACAGGCTCCAGCGCCCCCACAAACCTAAAATAAGATGCAAGATTTAAAAAAGAAAAATAAGCGAAATATTACTGCCCTGAGTCTCTTATTAGAGTTTTCTCAGGATTTATTTGGTTAGAAGCAGGTTTTCCCTGTAAACCTCTGGCTGTTCAGCTCTGCCACTGTCAGGAATAATGATTTTGGACATTGCTTTATGCGAGTTGGCCCTTCATGTAATAAGAGTCAAAAGCATCAATTCAGCGCTATGACTGAAGTGAGTTATTGAGAATAACAAGTAGAGCATGTTTGCAAAATCCCTTCTGGTCTAGACCAGAAGGGATTTTGCAAACATGCTTACACATCATAGTTAAAGTCAGGGTGATATTTCCTCTGGGCCGAACAGAATGCCCCAGACTTGGATTAATAGGTAATAAGATCATCAGCATGCAAGAAAACGAAAGATAAAATAGTTCCATCATTACATGAAAACGATGTTTATTTGTTGCTGGATTTAGCAATAAAAAATAACCAGAGTCTTTTCAGCACTAGTGTGCTACACTGTACATTATGTGCCTGTGTAAACAAACACAGACATGGTGAAACACAGCTGGATAATAAGAACTCAAGCAAATCGTCTACAATCATTTTGACTTTTCTGGGAAACTCGTGCAGCTGGATGTGGGGGAAATGCACACAAGCAGCCGTGTTGGGAGGTGTGCTCATGCTTCTTCATTTCCAGCCTCCAGCTGGTTCACAGTGGGACAGTACAAAGCTTTACCAACTCAGTCTAGTCACTTACTGTTGTCAATAGAAAATAAAATAATTCAGCAGGTTTTTTATAATGACTCGTTTACTTTATAAGAAGCATTTCTAACGGGATTCTGCTATGATTCTGCTGTTATAAAGCTTTTACTTACACAAAGTGTCTTCCTAAACATTTGTATGTTGGCACTGGGGACAAAACATTAAGAACACGTATTTCAGTAATAGGTGTAAAGTAAAATATTCAACTTTACAACATATAATAACATAATAATCAGTTTATCATGAGCAGATGCTCTCTTCAGCTTCCACCCGCAGTCAAACACATGCATCCACATTAATGAGTGATTCCAAATCAATGGCAGGTGTGAATGGTTGTCTGTGTGTTAGCCTGGGACATACTGGCCTATGGTGTTATTTTTGTGTTACTACTCTGAGCGCACGTGAAAAGAATTTGCAAGTACAAGTGCTGCGTTTTGAGGAGAAATTTATTTTGAGCGAAGACAAGCTGAGTGAACAAAATTCATTGTTGCGTGCAAAAAATTTATTTCAGTGTTTGCTATTATCCATACACACACACAACAGCCCCTCTCGCTCAGGTTTTGTATTTGCTCTTGCTTAGAAAAAGAAAAATGAACATGCAGATGGATACACAAAAGTATCGCAATGTCTCCAAGTGTCAAGAGCTGAACTGATAAGTATCATTGAGATGCTCAAAGAAAGCCACACAATTAAGAACAAGCCTGGCAGAAGTAGGGGAAATAAATAGTGAGAGATGTATCTAAAGACTCCAGAACAGCTGCCAACACTGAATGACTTCAGGAACTGTAGTCTCAAAGCCAATGATCACCCAAACCCAGCAAAACTGCTGGTTAAGGACAGAAACTGATCGAGTAAAATCAGAATTCGCGTCAACACCCACTTGTGTCAATTCTTAAATAAGAAAAGATAATTCTTCTTATTAGGAAAGATTGGATGGAGAACATTTGATGTTTAGAAATCTGATGAAACTTATTAAACCCCCAAAAACTATTGAGAGTTGAGACCAGGAAGCAGAGATGCAAAACCTCTTTTCAGCTTCTTGCCTCCTGCCATCCCCACAGAGACTGTCTGGGACCAGACCACCAAAAATGATCACAAACAATCCAAGCATAAAATATCACCACAATTTAGAGAGAGAACAGCATTCAAAACAAACCAATAAAGAAAGTAAGAAAAAAGTTGAAAACACAGGAGCACCTGAACCAGGCTGCAGGCCGGCTGACTCGGGCTTGTGACACCCCGTGGGAACCAAAGACTGAAGCAGTTAAATGTGGACAATTAAACATCATGTCTCTGTCTTCTGATGACCTGTTAGTGAATGGTTGATGTATTCTGCCTCACAGAGACCTGGTTACACCAGGATGAATCAGTTAAAGCACATATGCTGTAAAAGGAGGAGGAGCAGCAGTCTTTCAAACCTACGTATAGATTAACCAAAGACAGTCATTTGAAAGTGTGACAGACAGAGCAGCTGGTTAAACTCTGTTCCCACAGAGGTGGATTATATTGATCATAGTGTTACATCCTCACTGCACATGACCCTGCACATTGTTGCTCGTCTGGAATGAAAAGCCTCCTTTCAGAAGTGCTTGACTCCCTGTTCACAAATGTGCACCTTTAAAAACGTAACCTGTAAGCTGGAGAAGAAATGGTGCTGGACTAACCCAGAAGATCTTCATTTAGCCAGGAAAGAGTTTCTTCATCTATAAAAGAGGTCTAGGGTGGTGTGGGGTGCTGGTGTATGCTGGCTGGCGTCTGCTGCAGGGAAGTCTGGGGCCTTGGTGTTCAGGGTTACCCGTTTCCTGGTTGATTCCCTCCCTCCATGGGAGTGATCTACCTCTCGGTCTCAAATATCTTTGTGTGTTCTTGTGTCATTCGCTTGTGTGTGTGTGTGTGAGACTATGCCTGGGTGGTCGTTTAGTGTGGGGAGGTCGTCCCTCCCTATTTCTCTCCCTGTAGGAGCTGGGTGACTGCAGCTCAGGAGCAGAGAGTGATTCTCTCGCCGCTGCCTCCCAAAGGATCCTCGATGACCCTGATCCTTTGTTTACTTGTGCTGCAATATGCCGAGGCTGCCGGGGGCTTCCCATGATGCACTGAGCATCTCTTCTTCATCAGCCTCTTTTCACTCTGTGTTTATACACCACTTTGTATTCAGTCATTATTAAACTCTAGCTCTGCTTCACACTGTGTCTTCCTGCGCTCCCCCCAGACCGGTCAGGGCAGATGGCTGTCCCTCCCTCACTCTTCCTCCTGTTAAAAGTTCTTTCCATTCTTCTTTGGTGCAATGACTGACCAAAGAAGAATGGGCTGGGATTACTCAGGAGATGTGTGTGAGACACAACAAATACCTGCAGATACCTGTTATCAGCAATAAGCAAACTTGATTTTATTTTTGTGAACTAATTTTGTTTCTGTGTGCAAAGTAAAACGATACAGTAACAAAAACATAACTATGGTAAAATAACAGCAGTAGGAAAATAATCGTTAAAATAATATAAAAAATGAAATTTTCAAAGGGGGGGCGAATAATTCTGTCCTTATCTTTGACCAGAGTTAAACCTGAGGACTGGAGAGTATTCATGATTGTCTAAGTAAAAATCTACAGTGCACTGATAGAAAGGAGCACATTCACCTGTACAGCAGGTGCGCACAGTCCACCCAACAGGAGCAGTAATGTTGGGCAGGGAGCAAAGAAGAAATATGCACATTTACTTACTAACCCTACGACCCACACTGGGCAGTGTATCAGTGATGTCAAATAAGACAACAAATACAAATGTTTCTATGATTTGGACGTATTCTCTCATCTCATCAAAGCACGAGTACAATAACTGCAGCTATAAAGTGAAGCCATCATATTATCCATGATTCCTTTCATATCAATTATTTTATAATGTGGTCAACATCAGTACATGAACGTAGGACCATTTGAAGTTGAACTGGAAATGTTTCCTCCAGTGAAGGATCAAAAACAAACAGTACAACAGTACTATTACATCAAAATAGTTCTGATCCACCACTGAAACTATGATTTCTCATGATATCGATGTTTATATTTGTTCATAGAAATAAATTCTGCACAAAATCGATATTTTGAGATTTTTTTTTATTTCAAACATTAAAAGTATGACAGAGTAAGAATAATGCAAAAATCCTGTGACTTCATATTTTTCTCATCATGAATGTTTTGACATTTTGTGCAGCTTCATTAAATAAAGCTGATTGTTAAAAAATGATCTGAATGTAACAGGATCAGGTGGGAACTGTTTTCAGATTAATGTTATAGTATGAAGAAAGAATCCCACAGCTATTCCAGATGTTTGATCCTGAGGTAAACAAATAAGGAGGAGGGAGGTATACTGGTCCCATCTTTGGATAACAGGTGAATGTGACGATAACCTAAGAACACAAAAGGAAACAATTAGGAGGCAACGAGGTATATTTATACACGCTGACAGATGAGAGACAAAATACTGCAAATGTCATGTTATGGTTCTACTAGTGAGGGGTTTTCACCGCATCTTTCAGACTCTTATTGTATTATGTAAAATAAACTGGTTCCCAGTAGTCCAGTTCCTTGGAACCGTTGGTCTGCCTGCCTATTGATCCCACTTATCTGTTCCACTCTCACTACAATCAGCTGATTTGTGTGTCAGAGGAGGAAAATAGTGGCGCAGTGTACAGTGTGGATATGGAAATTACTTATTATTGCACAAAAGGACGAGAGCACGATGGTAAAGTGCAAACTGCATCCAGGACAGAAAGAAATGCATTATGTTGCTAACACAATCTTCTCTGTGCAAGCATCTGCACAGCATGCTAACACTAGGTTAGCTTTAACATCAGTCTGAGTTCTTGGCTCAGTGAATGGCGACTCCAACCCAGCAGCCAGACCCTAAACTTCAACAGGTAACAAAAGCAGTGATGAGCCGTCAGGCTAAATACTAAGAGAAAGATCACATGTGTGTCCTCACACGTAGGGATGTGTGTATGTGGTGTGTAATTGTCGCCTCAGGTTCACATTGTTAAATGGTAATTATGAGACATTTCAGGTTATTTTATAGAGAAATGCCAAAGTAGCAGTTCAACATTGTTTTCTTCTCCAGGGAGTAATTAATTAATGTACTCCATTATAAATGTAATGTGTGTGTAATGTGTGTAATATATGACCGCTTCTGAATAATGACCGCAACACTGATCACAAACAGTAAGTTTGCATAAAGAATATAATGTGTTTGATGCTTCTTAGCAACGGTGACACTGTCCAAACAAAGGGTGCATAAGTTGAAATTTAAGTATACAATGACAAAAAGGAGGGAAATGTTAAGTCTAATTGTTGAATGTTGCCATTGTGTTTCTTAAATTTGTACAGTCTTAGTTCAAGCAGTAGGATCAAAGCCATTCCTTTGATCCTGACCACCTCTCCAACCACTCTGTGCTGGGGGAGGTTTTATTGTAGATACATCCTATCTGAAAGATCTGTTTCTTTTGATGTAAGCTTCCTGGGTTTACGACCCTTTGGTCAGCAGGAGGTCTGACACACACACACACATACACACACATTCTCACATAAACACACACACAACATTCTCACATAACACACACACACACACACACACACACACACACACACACACACACATTCTTACAGAAGTTCACACATATACATACAAATGCTTTGTCTCAGAACCAAGGGGGCGTGGCTTTGTTCTGACGTGTTTTGTGTGAACTGTGTCTCAATAAAAAGGGCAGCAAGGGAGGTCGTGGTCGAGGTCATTTTCGTGGTGGACACAGATGAGGCCTCCCTTGCACAAGTGTTTGATCGATCGACTGTCTTGTTTTCTTCATGATGAATAAGTCTCTAGAATTAGCGGGGCTTGTGGAAACACAGACCCAACATATCCTTGTAGGGTCTAGCTCACAGTATTAACCACCTTGAGGCAACTGTTGTTGTGATTTGGCGCTATACAAATAAAAATGAACTGAACTGATGGACTGGACGTTATTTTAAATGTTAATGTGAATATGAAGACAAAGTTTAAAGAAGAAACTGATCCGTACCTTGCTGCATGCAGCTCAGAGGGAGTGTGTACTGGCCCACAAAGTCATTCTTAGATGTCTTGTCATAGTCTTCCACTACAAAGCGCACCATGGCCAGCTCAGGTGTGTGAATGGTGAAATGCAGAGTGTCATACCACATGGGGTTAAACCCTGTGAAAAGGATGAACTGCTCAGCACCAGCGCTCAGACAGGGTCTAATATATCACATTTAAAATGGTTTCTGATGAAGCTTAAACATAAGTGCAATAAAGAAGGCCTGTAATCACTCATCTACCTGCTTTCCTGTTCTTTACATGACTACATGATGTCAGCATTGACACTGACAGCGTGGTACACGCTGTCAGTGTCAATGCTGACATCATTACTAGTCTAATCTGAGCCAATCAGCCTCCGCTTTGCACGGTTTAAATCTGTGCTCTCCGTCATTCTCCCTTTAAGACCCACCTCTTCCCCATCTCCACCTCAGACACCTCAGCCAGAGCTCCTGGGGGGTCCGGTCCTAAACCTACCACGGCTGGGTTTCCATTCTGCCACGATGGGTAATCGCAGTCTAACTTTTCTATCTCTATAAATAATGTCCAATTCTTCCAAGTGATCTCTCCTTATCAAACTGAAGTCAGTGTGAGTATGTACCGTTGTTCTCAATATATCTCGTCTCTTGCTTGGCCTGGTCCATAGGAACTCCATGGACCTCCACTCTGACCAGAGGATCCACTATAGAGTCTTCTTTGATGTTGACTTTGGGTAACTGCTGACCACTGATCACCTTCATTACATTTAATGAAAACACACATTTTGTTCAGCGTGGTAAAGACGTCACTTTTAAAGAGATCCATCGATTTTTTAATGAAAATATATATAAAAAATCTCTCTTTCACCTGTACGGTGAGGACAACAGGATGGTAGTGATCCCGTTTCTGAGGCATCTCAGGGTCAAACCTTACGTCCGCCTCTCTCATGAAGCTGGGCTTCAACACATAGCCACAGCAGCCGTTCTGACTAAAAAGTCCATCGTTCACATCCATCCCCTCCCCTGCTGTCTGGAAGTTTAAAGCAACTGAGTGGAAGAGGAGAAAAATCATTTTTTGTGGGGATTTTGGGGAAAGGTTTGGGTCTGTTCAGTTCTGATTAAGTGCATGATGTGCTGGGCCACTTGGCATTTTGTTGTTTTATTATTAAAGCTGCACAGATTTTGGCTTCAGCCAGGATCATTCAGTATAATAAGTGGTGACATTATGTGGACAGATATTATTTATGTTTTATTTGAAGGAAAAATATTTGTTTCATCTTAAAGTAATTTTAATTTTCCTTTCTGGATCTCCTTCCTCATCTCTCACTGACATTTGAATTTAAATGAATAAAAAGTGTTTTACGAAAGTCTCCTTACATTTGTATCAGTTTCTTCCTGGGACGCCTAACTGTCACTTTTTGTTTGTCAGCAGGCTTAGTTGTGAATTTAATTATATTAATATAATATAATTATATTAATTATGAAAAAACTGAACAAAAATGTGAAAAAAATAATTATTATATCCAAGCATATTTGTTAGAACTCAGAAAATCACAGTTTTTGTGTAAATAATAATAATAATAATAATAATAATTCAATACAATTATTTGTTGGTGTCAAAGAAAAACACAATAAGATAAATAAAGGGTTCATTTTGCAAAGCTGAGTTTCTACTATGGAAACTTAATGACCATTGAGCACAAACAATACTTTAGACTGTGCTGAGCCTGCTGACCAACCCTGTTTCTAACCCTTCAAACACGTCATCAGTACGTCATCATAAAAAGCTGAAAAAGAGCATCTTTGTAAATGTACACACAGAACTCAGATGGTGGCTGCTGCTAAACATAGTGTTAAAATAAGGACAATACTGACTTTCTGCTTTAGTTTTGCTTCAGAAAAGATCTAAAGACGCTGAAAGGAGCCTGATTTAGGGGATTCCTGCCAGCAAACCTGGTATTTCTGTATTTTACCTGGACTACCATGAAAATAAAACTCCTAATAATTCCAAATTAAGAGTGAAATTATATCATCAAGCAAAACATATCACAGTGAGAAGTGAGGCATTAATGTAAATGATCTGAGAGCAGCGTTGAAAAATGCTTGATATAGACTTAAATCTGTCTTATTGTTGCATCACCAATTTGGCAACCAGCATTCCACATTTCCTGAGGATTAAAATTGGAAGAGTCTGTTCGAAAACCACTGGGATAAACTCTGCTCAGCTGCCGTGAGTTATGGTGCACAAATTCAGGCCCTGAAATAGATATCAGAAAAGTTACACTCTCGTGTGGTCAAAAACAAAATCTGTATCAGAAAACAAGCATGTGAGTGAACTAACCGGCGTCTCTAAGGTGTTTCCGGGCTTTAAACTCTGTGAAAGAAGCCACCTCATAGAACTTGGAGTGAATACGTGAGTGTTTGAAGCTAGTGAAATGGACACTTTTGCAGTAAACAACACAGTCCGACAGCTCCTTAGAGAGGCGTTGCTTTGACTTCTGTGAAAAACATAAAGGACAAATGAAGTAAGACACTGAATGAAGGCATATATAGTCGTTGCTATGCAGACGATACCCCGTTATATGAAACCAGAAACCTATCACAAATCAGTCAATTGAAATATATAGCATTCTTAAAGCCGTGGGTAAACTGTAGTTTTCGAAATTCAGACAAAAGTTCTTATTGTTCTTGGCCTTAAAAATCTTAGCAACCTGATGTGTAGCCAGATGCTAACTGTGGATGACCTTACCTTAGCCTCGAGGAACACTGTGAGGAACCTTGGAGTGATTTTGATCATTTTGGTCCTTCAGTGCACATATTAAACAAATATGTAGGACTGCTTTCCATCTCCATCATCTGTTCAGTTGCTAGTTTTGCAATAGGATGGGGTCCTCATTATTACACAAAATTAGAAGCATCTCCAAGTGTTGCTGAAAAAGTAGTTCATGCATTTGCTACTTCTAGTCTGGAGTCCTATAATTACTTTATTATCAGACTGTTTTAAAATCATAATTAAAATCAGCCTAAAAGTTGATCCTTAACACTCCAGTGAGAGTAATGACTACGTCTAGAAAGAATCACCATATTTCTCTGATGTCAGTTTCTTTTCAGGGGAACTACCTGTATGTGAATGAGAGGGAAACGGGTCGAAAGGTGAGCATCAAGGACAAAAAACGGGGAAGATAGGTGAATTTAAATACCTGGGGTCACCCATTCAAAGAAACGCACAGAGCACAATAGAGATGAAGAGAGTGCAGGAAGGGTGGAGTGAGTGGAGACAGGTGTCAGGGGTAACGTGTGAAAGAAGAACAACAGCAGGAGTGGAAGGGACCGTTTAAGATGGATATACTAAATAAAGGATTTTAAATATGGAGTTGGCAGGCAGGAGGAAAACAGGAAGACCGCAGAGAAGATTGATGGATGTAGTGAAAGAGGATATGCAGAGGCTTGGAATTACAGGAGGGTGACAGGGATATGGTGAGATGTAAGGAGATGATCGGCTGTAGTAACTCCTAAGAGGAGCAGCCTTTTAGGGGAAGAAGCTACTTCTCCTTGTTGGCATCTGTAAAGTTCATTTAAGATTATTTTCCTCCCAAACTAAATCTTGAATAATGACTCTAAAACACTGTATTATCCAAATAAAGCACCCTAGGAAAAACTGATGCAGGCTTATTTGTTTGTAGAAGTAGAATGGGAGGCGGAGCTTTCAGCTATCAAACACCTCTCCTGTGGAACCGGTTACAATTTGGGAGAAAAACACAACTGCTACATTAAAGATTCGACTGAAAAAAACTTAGAACAGGACAGGCTGATCCTGAACCATCTGTTTGTTATGCTGCTAAAGGTTGCTTTATCCTTGTCTCCTTATGTTCTCTTTTTTCTATTTTCTTACCCATCTTCTGTTTGCTGAGCCTGGTTCTGCTGGAGGTCTCTTTGTTTTAAAAGGGAATTCTTCCTTCCCACTGTCGCCAAATGCTTGTTTAACAGGGATCATGATTGCTGGGTTTTCTCTCTTGCATTATTAAATACTATGTTTCAGTAAAAACCAGTCAATATTCATTCCTTCATCCTCCACGCTCATGAACAGTGCCCAGTCTCAGGTGGATACTCTGCTGCATGAGGCCTAGCTGGTTGAGGTCTAAGCATCCCCCCAAGCATATTTCTTCCCAGATAATTAATGCCCCAACACAAAACATCTCATGCTGAACGACGTTACAGGCTACATGACTTTGGGCTTCCCCTGACCCTTTCATGTCTGTCACTTGTGCTCAGGGTGAACCTGCTCTCCTCTGTGAAGTCTGTTTCTGATTGTATGGTCAGAGGCAGGTCCAGCACCTCCTGCCCAGCTGTCCTACAGTAACTGCTGTCTCCTCGAATTTCCTCCATGCTCTTGAAGAAGAAGAAGAAAGTGTACTTTATTGGTCCCCGTGGGGAAAATCCCTCTCTGCATTTAACCCATTCACTCAGTGAAGCAGTGGGCAGCCATTGGGCGCCCGGGGAGCAGTGTGTAGGGACAGTACCTTGCTCAGGGGTACCTCAGGGTAGCTGTTCAGGGGAATCGAACCCCCGACCTTCCGATCATGGGGCCACCACTCTACCTACTGAGCTATCCCTGCCCTTGAGACTGTGCAGGGAGTGAAAAACTGGTGAAAGAAGAAAAAAAAAACAAAATCCAGAAAAGATGATGTGGAAAAATGTGTTGCCTCCACCTGTGAAACGTTTCCTGTTTTGGGGTTGTTTCATTGCTGCTCCTCTGGTGCACTTGTTGTTAATTTTATTAACACCAAAGCAGCAGAAAATGAAGCAAGCTCCTGTGCTACTTAACTACCAGGTCAGTATCCCAACAGTTTAACTGACTTGATGCTATACTTTTTTAAATAATGCTCCTTTTCATCTTTTTCTTTTTTCTTTTTTCTGGAGTAGTGAATATCATGGGGAAAACGAAAGAGGTCTGACAACAGTGAGTTGTTCATGCTCATCAAGCTTGAAAAGGCTTACAGAAGCATCTCTAAGGACACTTAAATAAACTGTAAATGGTAAATGGACTGCTTCTTATTTTACGCTTTTCTACCCTACCTGAGCACCTCAAGCTATTTATATAACATGCCTCATTCATTCATTCACACTCACTCATACAAGCATTTTTTCAGTTGCTTTTTCTATGTAGGTGATTTCTATCTACTGTTACTCTTCTAACAAAAGCCTAGCTCCATCTGTGAAACATGGTGAAGGCAGTTTCATGGTTTCAGCTTTGCTGTATCCCGGCCACTACGTCTCAGCATCAAAGACAGAACAAAACAATGTTGAATTACAACCACTTCAATTTCTTACATAAAAGCTGTCTGACAAAGCAAAGCAGGCTAAGCGATCTCAAAAACAACATATCAAGTCATCATTTAAAGAAGCTATAAACTATAGAACAGAAAACGATAAAACAAAGTAATTGAGATCAACAGTCTGGAAAAGCTTACAAACCCACTGCTAAGACTCTGAGCCTCCAGTGAACCATGGTAAAAGCCATTATCCACAAAGAGCGTAAACTGGAACAGAGGTGAACCCTCGTAGGCCTACAACAATTATTCCAAGAGTGCATCAGCGACTCATCCTGGAGGTCACAGAACCCAGAACAATATCCAGAGAACTGCCCCTCTACTTCCCACTGTTAACACAGTTAAAGGTAAGTGTTCATGAATAAGAAAGACTGGGAGACTGGGCAAGAATGGCATTCAGGAGTTCCAAGACGAAAACCACAGGTGACCAATAACACAAAGGCTCATTGGCCAATAAAACAACTTAACAATCTCCAAGACTTCTGGGAAGATATTATGTGGACTGATGAGACAAAAGCTGAATTTTTTGGAAGGTTTCCATCCCATTCCATCCGGTATGAAACTAACACAGCATTTCATAAAAAGAACATCATACCAACAGTCAAACGTGATGATAGTGTTATGGTCTGAGCCTGAATAAGTGTAAATGATGGATCATGTAATCCAGCCAATATTTGTCCTGGTTGTGAGAACTGGAATCGGATCCCTCTGATTGACTTACAGACTTTTAAGGATGACCAAATCTGGATATTTGGTACTCTAACTGAGATGCAACGAAAACGCTAAAAAAAAAAAAGACAAACAGATGGCAGCAAAAATTTGCTTTCTTAAATCTGCACACTACCGAAGTTTTAGAACACCCCAATCTTTCCAGTTATTTATTGCAATTCAGGTCGTTTCCCGTCCAATGAATAACTTGAAATGGTACAAAGGTAAGTGGTGAACTGCCAGAGGTTAAAAAAAGGTAAGTTTAGTTCTTACCTTTGCTTTAGGGCAAAGTGGGGTGATTTGTGCCAGCGGGGAAGTTGTGCCACCCCTGTTTCTAGGGAACCATAGAAGAAATTGGTCATGTGACCACACATTTTTGCAGAGCCAGCCATTTCACTCATCCTGCAAAGAAGAGAGCCTCATTGTAGCTCAGAGTAGCTCACAAGAGATTTATAGTTTCATTCCACTTAACAACAACATTGACTGTGAGAGTTCAGACACCCAGAATGATGATGATTGTGACAGGAATCTATCTGCTGGGAGTTTGCCATGATTTGCTGGTGGCTAATTGCCAATGTTTTCAAAGTATATTTTGAAATGTTTGAGTGTCATGCACCACTCTTTTGAAAAAAAAAAAAAAAAGATGTTTGGCTTCATTTATTGTGGTCTAAATGCGCAGCAGGGCCCCAAAGCAGAGTTGGATAATGTTTTGCATAGTGATGTGTATGTTGAAGCCTAACATCAGGAAAAACCTCTTGCACTACCTGCCTATGATCATTGATTATACACTCAAAGCAGCACGGTGCTGTAATTTTTGCCTCACAGCAAGAACGTCCTGAGCTTGATTCCACCCTCAGGCCAAGGCCCTTCTGTGTGGAGTTTGCATGTTCTCCTCATGTTTGCATGGGTTCCCTCCGGGTACTCCAGCTTCCTCCCACAGTCCAAAGACATGCAGTTAGTGGGGTTATGTTAATTGGAAACACCAAATTGCCCATAGGTGTGAATGTGAGTGTGAATGTTTGTCTCTTTGTGTTAGGCCTGCGACTGACTGGCGACCTGTCCAGGGTGTACCCTGCCTCTCGCCCTAAGACAGCTCCAGCACCCCTACAACCCTAACAAGGATAAAGAAGAGAATAGATGGATGCAAGTTTCATCAGTACTTTCATCAGCAAATGTAGGGTGCAATGCCAACTCAACCACAGCCCGGTACTCTGTCTCATTCACCCTCACTGATGAATCCAATCACCGCAGAGTCATCAGAAAACTTCTGAAGATGGAGGTCTCTGTGCAGTAGCTGAAGTCTGTGGTGTAGAGGGTGAAGAGGGAGGGGGAGAGGACAGTCCTTGTTGCTGATCACCTTGTCAGGCACACAATGTTGAAGACACATATTGTAGTCAGCAATGCAGGCCACGGAAAAGGCATCCACCTGCATCGCTGTCAGCTTATCACCCAAGAGGGTCGGGCTGGTGGTGTTCAATACACTGGACAAAAACATGACACTCACAGTGGTCACCAGCTGGTACAGCTGGGTGTAGATTGAGCCTCCTTAGCTCGAGGAGACTAAATTTGATCCTGATGTGGTCTGACTATCGGTCGGGGCTGGTCCAGGATGAGTCTTTCCAGGGTCTTCATGACGTGGAAAGTGGGGGCCACTGGGATGTGGTGTATTTGGTACAGGAATCAGGCATGACATCTTCCACAGCACTGGGACACTCGGACTCATCATGAACACTTTGTGAAAGACTCCACAAAGCTGGGGTGCACAGGCCTGGAGGACTCACCCCGTCTGGTCCAGCAGACTGGCCTGATTGGAGTCTTCTCATTAGTCTCTGAACCTGGCCATGAGTAAAAGTGACTGGTGGGGGAGGGGTGTCAGGACTCTTATAGGAAGCTATGGTACAATATGGAGAGAGAGGGAGAGACACTGGAGCGGCTGTGGAGTGCTGGCTGACTGCAGTATTGAATCTGTTGAAAAATACATCCATGTTGAAAATTCAATTCAATTTTATTTATATAGCGCCAAATCACAACATAAGTCGCCTCAAGGCGCTTCATAGATACAGAGAAAAACCCAACAATCATATGACCCCCTATGAGCAAGCACTTTGGCAACAGTGGGAAGGAAAAACTCCCTTTTAACAGGAAGAAA